GCATTCATGGTTTCCATTATTTTCCTGAGCTCGTCTATTTTTTTAAAAAAATCTGTATCCGCTCTAGAGTTACTTAGCATGTCTTTCATTCTGGTCACTGTCTCTGTAGCTATCTGAGAAATTATTTCTGCTTTTGTTTTTTCTAGAGCCTCAATCTTCTTAGTTACTTCCACTGTTACTTCCTTTGCTACTTTGTTACTTTCCACTGTTTCAGAAAGTCCAGGTGGGTGGATTTTGGATTGTTCCACCTCATTGCCCCCTGGCTTGCCTTTGGTGAGCTGAAAGTCTGGGGAAAGTTGCATTTTGTTTAAGTGTCTTCTCATTTTCTGTTTTTTAAAAGTTTATTTCCTGGGTTGATGCTTGTAAATTGCTTATGGTGAGTAGCTTTTTGCCAGTGTTCAGAACCCTTAGGAAATGACTACTTCTCAGAGGTGTCTTCCAGTTGTAGCTGGCTTTTGGGTTTTGAGACTTGCAAGATCCTACTTCTTCAATTTATTGGGTATTAGAAGTTTCTGCCTACGTGGCCCAGCCACCAGTTCTTTGGCACTGACTGGCATATATATATATATATATATATATTTTTTTTTTTTTAAGACCCATGGGAGCTCTCAGTCTTGGTATAGCAGGAAGAACAACTGATTAGCATGTCACCTTGGCTAAAGTAGTACATTTAAAAGGGGTTGAGGGGAATAGATAGAAGAAGAGGAAAAGATTAGAAGCAAGGCTGGAGGACCAAGGAGGATCCTACAAACTTTGGGAAATTCCACCCCTCACTTGAAATTACAGGAAATGCCTAAATTTTGGGAATATAGCTTCAGACCAAAGATAGCTTATCAGTAGCCAAGGACTTTCTGTTCCCTACACCCTTTCCCCTCCCACTCTTCCTCCCCCTCAACAATCCTTCAGACCCTCCCCTTGCACCACTTAAACTAGCCAACTGCAATAGATTATAACCCTTTCAATTCAACCAATGAATTTAAAGGATAGTTGCTTCCCATTACGTTAGGGCTTAAAAACACCTCTTCCTTGCCATTCAGTACACCTGCTTTCTCATGTCTGAGTGCACTCGTGCCCTTCTGCAGAAGTACACTAAATTTTAAACTTTGCCCTGTCAAATTCTCTTGCTTGCTATCTGAGTGCATTCTTTCCAGCGCTGACAATTTGAGTCTGGGGGCTTAATTCCAATAGTAGCAGTTCATATAAAGGCCAACAATTAATTCATACAGCCGACCTGTTCCTCTACCAAGTTGAGATTTTCTTTTCCATCACAAATATGAGCTGAAGGAAAAGCATAGATGCAACAGAGGAAGGTAATTGATGTGTCTGCATTTCCTGTTTGAGAACATAAATGTGCTTTCTGGATTTGCTGCAGTCTGATCCAGAATGCCATTTGCATGGCATGATGGATTACTGATGTGCCTGCCTGGCCTATGAATCAGGACATCTGAAGAAAGCTACAGTAATTAGAAGAAACATCATTTATTTCCATATCTACAATCTTTACAGTTTTATAAAAGGAATCTTTTTATTTCATTTATTTCTTTGCATCTCTTTAAATGCTGCCCTAACAGCTTTCCTGAGTGACCTGAGCTTGTGATTTTCTTCAGTGCAGCAACAACCAACACTTTATTTTCTTTAGAACTACATTTGCCTCTGTATCTTTGCTAGTGATGTTACATAAGCCCTTTCAACTCTATTCCATCCTAGTGTCTCAAAGGGGAGGCCTCAGTCATTGTGATGCTGTAGCACAGATATCATCACTGTTGCACTCCCAGTGAAACCCTTACCATCTGGGTGGTTAGGGAGTAATTGCAGAGAATCCCAGCCTGATACTCCAGAGTACCATTGGTGATACCAGCTAACTTAGTTTGAGGTCTCCCAGAAGGAGGCCTCAGACAAGGATTGAGGTCAAGTCATTTATTTAGGATATGAGCTCAGAAAACACCAGTCATGTAATGAGAAATGAGAAAAAGAAGAAAAGGGAGTGAAGAAGGAGTATACTACCAAATAGGTTGCTGCAAAGGGAAACTAGGACTTAATTCCTCTGGAGGACTCTGGGAAACAACACAGAACATAGGCCTCAGAATTTGTCCAACCAAGGGGTGAGGGAACTGGGTGTTTGTATTAATTTGCTAGACTGGCTCTAACAAGGTACCATAAACTAGATAGCTGTGGTGGATTAACTAATGGGTAACTTGGAATGCCCAGCTGAACTCAATCAGCATGGTTCTGGGTGCAGAAGACTCACCTGAGGATTGTTGCCAAAGGCATTAAAAGAGAACTGGAAGAACAGAGATACATCATGTACAGGTACAAGCACCCAATGATAAATGTAATCATATTGTATACCTAAAATGTACCAATAAAAGAATTTAAGAAAAAAAAAAGAGAACTGGAAAGGAAGATCTTATGCAGTTGATTTTCCTGGAGAACGTTGCTGTGGCTGGTTTTCCTGATGTGAACTTGGCTGTTCTTTTTGGAGCTGGAGCTCAGGTCCTTGCTGTAACGGAATAGCTGCTGTTCTCATCAGGGGAGCTCTGATCTTCACCTTGAGTGTCGCTTCCTGGCTCCAGTGCACATTCCTCAGCCTGGTGGCACAGATCTTTCACAATGGCAGAGCAGGCTTTCTAGGGTCCGCTACTAGCCTTTGAGCCTTCCTGGTGCAGATCCTTGATATGGACTTCCATGGGACATTGCCATGGCCTCTAGGCCTCTGGCTGGATTCATGGAGGACATTGCCTTGGGCTCTTGGTCTTTAGCTGGACTTGTGCGGGACATTGCCATGGGATCCAGGCTCTGGGTTGTATTCTTCAGGTCTCTAGTATGTGGAAAGATCTCTTGCCCTCCTCTGCCTTTGACTTTTTGGGTGAATATTATAAAATAATCCTATAAATTATGTGTCCTGTATTAAATCTAGTCCTTTGTAAACTCTGACTACAACAGTGGTTTAAACATCAGAAAATTATTGTTTCAGAAATCCAATATCAAGGTGTAGACAGGGGTGTTTCATTCTGAGGACTATACAGAAAAGATCTGTTCTCAACCTTGGTCCTTGCATTATAGATGACCATTTTTTTTATTTTTTCTCCAACACCTTCCTTTTATGCATGTTCCTGAGTCCAAATTGTCTCCCCTCCCTTTTAAAGGACAACAGCCATGTTGGATCAGGATCTATCCTTCATTTCAACTTGATTACCTTTGTAAATATGCCCTGTCCAAATAAGGGCACACTGTAGAGATTTGGGCTTCATCATATCAATTTGGGGAGGTGACACAATTCAACCCATAGTTGTATTTATAAGCCAACTTCCATGTGTCACTGGTAGAGGATTGCTCCAGCCTGCCATCCATGTGGCGAAATGGAGCTCTGTGACAAGGAGATGCTGGTTTTTGGAATATGGGGTTGCACACTCAGAAATGTCAGTCCCAGTGTATGAGTGGGCCACTAGCAGTGTCTGGTGCTTTGGTGATACACATAACTATTTCTACAACTCATTTAACTTTTTTACTTTTTACAAAAAGTAATGACAATTATGAAAGGGAGAGTAATAGAAAAAGGACAAATCTTATGTTTTGCTGCCTATGAGTACAAAAATCTGTTAATGCAAGAGGCTCCATCTAAGGAGAGTCTGCATGTTTGGTACTTGCTTGTTCTGTAAGCTGTTTCAAGAAACAATTTAAAAGCAACATGATTCCTTCTCAATTTTACAAAATATATTTTGTAATAAAGAATGATGAAATAATGCTTCCTATAGAGAGACATACAGGAAGTAGTGAACTACACTATTTGTAGAATGAATGACTTCTCAGAAATCAGCTGAAAGAGGGTTCACAATTGGGGAATTGCCACCAGGTGGCAAAAGAGACAGTAGAATGGCATTTTCTAAGAGAGTTAAGGAAGGTTTAGAGGAAAACAACCCCGGGCTGCTCCCTGAATTGAGCAGCTTCCTTGGAATCCCTGTGATGACAAACACTGTGTGAGATGCTGGCTGATGTATGCATCATGGTCATATTCAATGCTGGAATGCCGTAGTACGAGATTATAAAGTAGATGAAATTCTGAAAGTTCCAGGATAACTACTACAGCCTATTGGAGGCAAATCTGGTACATATTTATCAAAACTAAAAACAAAAATGGGCCGGGGATTTAGCTCAGTGGTTTCACCGCCTGCTGCGCAAGCGCGAGGACCTGAGTTCGATCTAAGGTACCAAAAACAAACAAAAGAAAACAAAACTAAAAACAAAAATGACAAAAACAACAAGAATGATTCTCTTAGTTTCAAAAGCTAGACATAGAAGTGCTCGCCATTACAACCCTGGCACTCGAGAGTCAGAGTCAGGATCACGAGTTCGAGGCCAGCCTAGGCAACACAGCGAGATCCTTGTCTCAAAGGACTAACACAACAAAGCAAAACAAAACACAAAAACCCCAACCAACGAAAAAAAATTTAATTTGCGTAACATCACCCACCCCGCTTCTTTTGAGGCAGGGTCCAGCGGACTGGCCTGGGAATCACAAGGTAGTCTAGGCTGCTCTCAAACTCGCGATCCCACTACCTCAGTCTCTAGAGTGCTGGGGTTATAGGCGTGAGCCACCATGCCATACTTTATCATTCTAAAGAGCAGAACAAAATGAAATGCACTTCTGAAGGATTTCGAGGTTTCTTTCCTTGAGCGCAGTGAAGATCTAGATTTAAGACGACTGGATCTGATCATTTTAGGATGAAAATAAGATTGTCAAGCCTTCTGGAGCGGGATCCCTATTGGGCGCAGCTCTGCAGAGCCGGCAGGCGCCGGGGATCAATTAGCAGGGAGAGTCGCCCCTTTCGCCTAAGATTCATTCTACCGGTGTGCGGAGCGGAGTTGAGGTCACCTCACCTGGAAGGGGGTGTGCCCTGGGCGGGAAGGGGCGTGACCTTGACAGGGCGGGGCCGTACTCCGCCAGTACAAATGCTTTCCGGCCTGATTTGACCCATATTGCGGCCCGTAGAAGCTCCTAGTTGCCGCCTTCTGTCGGTGAGTGGTGGAGACTCGCTCATGTGACCTCCAGGAGGCAGGAACTGAGAAGGTTGTGTGAAGCGCAGGGTTTAGACCAAAACAAACGTCGACGGTGCGGAGGCAGAGTCTATGGCCGAGGCTGTGAAGCCCCAGCGCCGGGCCAAGGCCAAGGCCAGCCGGACTAAACCCAAGGTGAGGATCCTGACCGCCCAACCTAGGCCTTGTCCTGGGTGCGCTCCGTTTCCATCTCTTTTTCCTCTCTCTCCAGATAGCTCTACTCCCATTCCTCCAGTCTGCACCGTCCGCCCCCGCTTCCATTAGTTGATCCCGCCATCCATTCACGTCGGCCCTACACTCATTTCTCTTCCACGTCCGCCTGCCACCCTTTTACAGGAGCTCACTTTATTTTCTGCTTGCTCTGACCTCATTGGCCTCTTCTTTTTTGCTCCCTTTTTTGCCTTTCTTCACCGAGGTTTGGTTTCATGCCTTTTTTTCTCCCTAGTCCCATCTCTGACTCCCTCTTTTCTCCTTTGTAACGTGGAAACATTTCCCGTCTCTCCCATGCATAAAGAGGGAAGGGACCTCTCTCTGCGAAGAAGGTTTTTTGTTTTTTTGTTTTTTGGCAGTTTTATGGAGAGCGACAGCTATAAAGTAGACTGTAGTGATGTGTGTCTCCCCCC